TTAAAAAACGGATCGGTGCCCCGGGTCGGGCACCCCAAAAATCCATCCGGATCGGTGATTCGACATTTTTGGATCGGGAATCGATCGAATTCGCCCATAAAAAAAATGTAAAAAATATATTAAAATATTATACATGTTTTTCATAAATCTAATAAGAAATGACGGTACTACATTAATAACTTTCATTTTTTTTGTATCAATATGTGAATATTGATATGTTCTTTTCCTATATGAACTACTGTTAACCATTAAATTTACGTCACACAAAAGAATAAACATAAAATTATCATGGATGAAGCATATAATCATACATGGACTATAATAAATTAATAATACAAATAAATGAATTTATCACTATGATAAAAATATTACATTATATACTTCATAATAAAATACAAGATTTGATTACCAATGTATACTTATTATTTATAATATTATAACTATGATTAAAAAAAATATTAAGAAACACTTCCATATCATAAGATAAAAATAAAAATAAATTCCCTTATAAATTTCAATATTATAACATTACAAATATATTCAAGAAAAGATTTTTCACGTAGAAATAGAAACTAACAATGTTAAAATTCGCAAAAACAAAAAAAAAAGTAAAAAAAAAATCACATATCATATATCATAGTATTTTGCAAAGTATAATATACTTCCACGTTAATTTCACCCTAGTTAATTTCACCCTAGTGTTTATACAATGGCTACGATTTTCACATCAATAAGAGTTCAAGAGGGGTAAATTTAGTCCCACATCATCGTCTTTAAAAAAGTCACTGTAGCTATAAAAGGTCAAGAACCAAATGTAAAGGGCAGTAGGTTACACACGTGTGAGGCATGGGACGTTACCAACATCTTCAAAGGTGCCATGCATTTCTTGCTTGGTTGTCATATGGGAAGTGATGACGTGACTCCCAAGTTTGGTTGTCATGTGTGAAAGTGATGACGCGACTCCCAAGTTCTGGTACGTTTTAAAGATGACATGGCTCTTGATTTTTGGTACATCGTAATAATAATACACGGTTTAATGAAGAGGAAATAATGGCTCTCGGTATGTTTTAATGATGAGGAAATAAAATGTCTTAAAAATAAAAACAGAACATTGAAAATGGTTTTTGGTACATCGTAATCGTAATAATAATGACACGGTTTAATGAAGAGGAAATAATCGCTCTCGGTACGTTTTAATGATGAGGAAATAAAATGTCTTAAAAGTGAAAACTGAACATTAAAAACAGTGATAACCGATTGAAATCTCTTGTTACTATAGCAACTCGTCGAATTATCACTACGAATCGTTCATTCGCCTTTAGACACGACTGATTTCCAATAAAAATCAATCGAAAATCAATCATCTCGATAAAAATCGATCGAGAATCAATCATCTCGATTCTTATCAGATGATCGAGAGAAAGGGGGTAAAGCAAAATGGTCACACATCGTTGCTTTTCGAAAGCAGTAGGCCATAGGTGCTACGTAAGTATAACACGTATAACGAATGGGAGCTTTCATATATTGATGGGTGGGCCAACATTGATGATGTGTACAAGGAATGTACTACTTTACATGTAAACAACCTGATATGGGGACCAACATTTTCCCAAGAAAGCTAAATTCAAGACAAAACCAAAATTCCTTCACTTATGGGGACCCACATTTTTCCATCCCGTCCCTTTTCTATGACTTTTCTTCCTTACATGTGTGTTTCCATCTGGTCCTTTTCTATGACTTTTCTTTCTTACATGTGTGTTTCATGATCTTGGCATCAACTGGAAGAGCAAACACAGATTTAAGAGTGCCACTTGCTCTGCTGATGATCAGAAGCAACCAATTGATTTGATGGACCCAACAAGGAGAATGATTTCCTGTACAAAACCATTCCTCCAAAGAAATACGGCAAAAACTCAGACATGACCTTGCTCAAGAGAAACCAGAGCCAGGCTAAAGGCTGAAGCAATTTTTCATGATATAAAATACTATCATGAAGGATATCCGCAAAATGACTACCTCTATAATAGTCTCTTATGACGGATACTTTGCACTTCCATTCCCACAGAAAAACAGAAGAAAAAGAGGAAAGAGAAAAAAAGAAGGGTTTTTTTCTTCTTTTTTTTCTCAAGGGGGGGATAGATAGATAGAGAGACAGAGAGATCAACCAAAGAAGACAAACACCAAATCATCCTTTACATCACGGATTGGATAGTTGGCCAAATGACATGCGACCCACATTTTTTCTTTCCGCTATGCATCATATGAGACCCAAAGAAAAGGGAGAACACCACCATAGTTGTGGGGTTCAAAAAACATCAACCCCCAACAGCTGTTCTTGGACTAGCAGCTGTGGGCATGCTTACGGAGGACATAAAGCGTGATACAAGAACAGCTTCATTACTGACGGCTTTTGAAGCAGCAACATCCTCCAAACGCTTCCATGCAGATTCTCGCTTCTCATGCATCTCTTTCTCCTTGACTTCGTCTTCTTGAAACTTGAGAAGGCACTCCTCAAAAAGTTCATAATCCACATCTGTGAATATCTTCCGCACATTCAAAGTTAGGCTCTGAACCGCTTGGTTCCAATGATTTCTCGTGTTTCTCTCAAGGGATGGGAAAATGATGGGCAGTATGACCCTGCGATTCTGAGTGATCAAGCTAAGGATGTGATCATTGTTCCACAAAAACAAAGCACGCTCAGCCACCTAGAGACAACAAATATTCTGCATAAGAACATAGTAAAACCTGGCAAATGGGCAGACTACCAATACTTCGCTAAGTAGCAAAGCAATCCGTTAGTATTCAACAGAAGACGTGAATTTTAGACCATCCATCTTTATTCAGATCCATGGGAAACGATGAACCAAAAACCCTAGATAAATCACATGCTTCTATCACAATGAATGAAAAGACGAAAAAAGACTGGCCAGAAAGTTGAGCCCAATATTAATAGTACAGTACAGCTATCCAAACCATCACTAGAATGTCTACCACTAAAATTTCTTTGGAGAGATTTTTATGTTAAATTCATACACCCAGAAATAATAAAAAACAAACAATTAGCCAAGCCAAATCACAAATATTATTTCCACAGGCAGGTGTTTCTTTTTGGTGCCTTGCACATGGAAGCATGAAAGAAGGCATCTGCATCCAACAGAAGCAACAAATGGTAACTCCATATGAACATAGATTTCAGAAAAAGAAGCCGTGTCATAATAGTAGGATGTGGTTACTAAGATCCTAATTGGCTTCAAATAATGGCTTGAATTTCATTTTTTAAAGACTTCACCCTTTTCTCATGTTATCTTCCAAGTTCTATCATCACTGATATTATGTTAGGAAAAATCATCTATGTACAAAGACATCCATTACTCAGATACATCGATGCCAGTGTACATCACATCAACAAGAATACATGACTGGTTTGCTTCTTCAGACAGCATAACCCCATCATACAATGACACTAATAGCTCATAACTAATAACCTCTGAAAACAAAATGTCTATTATCACGCATCCATTGAAACATGTAAGCTACACTGCTCACTCCCTACAGTAGACAGCGATCGGTGCAAGACAAGCACTAACCAACTCAAAGATAAGTGCAGGGGTTGCTATACTCTGCTCACCACTGCAGATGAGAAAGACTGGACCGAAGCTCAGCTGCAAGGAAGCATTAATGTGGTGGCGAAACATGGCAGGAAATGCAAGAGAAGAAAAGGAAAAAAAAATTAAAAGGGATGCAATGGGCAAACATTGCACTAAATTTGGGAAGTGGGATCTTTATACCTTAAAGGGCAGGCCCCCACTACAAGGAATGACCTGATGGTCACTGATGATACGCCATTGAAGAGAACCCCCAACCCGTGAGGTCATGCCTAGCTCTGTTAAGGTTCAACCCATCCATGACAGTTTCATTCATAAAGACCGATCCATACAAAAGAAACAAAAAATTTGGTGCTACAAAGTATATTGTCCCATAAAATACCAATAACCATTTCACAAGTGATTCAACCAACACTCGACCTCTATAAGAATTATAACATGCCTCATTATATAGGTCCAGTTATTTCCTCAGTTGTCCAATTAATGCAATGTAGTTATGGTATCCAAAAAAAACTTTTAGCAAGTTTCAAGTAAAAGCTACCTGCAACATGGCATACCACTGTCAGCTTTATCAATGAGTAAGTAACCAAAGAGGCCCACAACTACAATGCAAACTACCTTGATCATCAAGTCATATAGTACACTGCAATATGACCATTCTTGTACACCCTTGAATATTTACAAGATGTAGTTGTATCAAATAATTTTAATATGTTTCTCAATGAGCAAATTATTGTCTCCACTCATGTACAACAATTGCCTTGCAGATATGTACATTGATTACCTCTTGTAAGAGGGCAAAGGTTCATCATCATTATACAAGTTTATAATACAATAGCAACAGATAGCCAAGTTGAAAAAAAAAGCCTAATTTCCTTTTCTTGAAACGACAAAGAATTTAATTTCCCCATCTTAACCTTGGAAAAGCAAACATAACATTAATCGAAAGGGAATTTAAGAAAAATAGAAATTTAAAAGAGAATAGAAAGGGAATTTAAGAAAAATAGAAATTAAGGAGAATCATACGTCTATCCAACAAGTAAACACTAAAAGGAAAGTTAGATGTTCATAATTCTTTCCATTGTATTTAAGTCCTTAATGACCTATCTGTCATTTTCTTACTTTAGGGCACTATTGTACATTGGTAAATATTAATTTAATGAAAGAGAGGGGGTGAAGTTAAGTTAGACCCAATGCGACTCTCTCATTCTCTCTCTCTCTCTCTCTCTCTCTCTCTCTCTCATCTTCTTCATTCCACTCTCTAGGTCTCCATCTTCCCTATTCTCTTTCTTTTCTTTTCTTTTTTTCCCTTTGATTGCTTTTGTGTATTTTATCTTGATATCAGAGCAGGATACTTTGGGATGGCCTTTGAAACTCTAATGATGGATCTGACCGTGAGAGGGTCTTCATGAGCCATAAAATCAGAAACTCTCAATTTGAAAAAATAGGTATCAAATGTAAAACCATAATTTCGCAGTTGCTATCCTTCTTCAAGTTTTGAATGCAGGATTAGAAACCCTAGATCTGTTGGGATGGTTAGATGGTGTCAAGTTCTATTGTCAGACAACTAAAATGAGTCACATCCTTATCTGTGAGTTGCGAAACTCATTCATTATAGAGATTTCTTCTAGAGGTGGTCTTGGATCCCTGTAGGAATTGAATTTGAGGGGCTAGTTGTGTTGATCAGTGCATTTGCTTGGTGTGTTCAAGCTATGTTATGATCAACATGCCTAATATCGGTGATTCAAGCCACACCTCCATCATCTCTAGTAGGGGATAACCTCCTTTATGGGTACCAATGGAGATAATCTTGGACTGCAGATTATGACTATCAAATTCGAAGGGACAAATTATTTAAAGAGGTCACAGTTTGCTAAATTATTAATGGAAGGGGAGAAATTAGAATACATTGATGGTAATATTACTAAATCCAAGGGAACATATCCTGGAACTATTCAGTGGGGACACTCTTTCATTGATCAACCAGGTGCATTCCTTTGTCCAAAGTAAGGAGAGTAGAAACAGTGCCATGCCGCCTGCTCAAGTAATTGATTGTTCTGCCTTTGCCTCAGCATCATTACCTCCTAAGAACAATAAGGGGGGTGGACCTCAGAAATTTGGAAAGGGGCTCCAAGTAAGGAGATAAAAGTAAGCTGAAATGTAACCACTATGATAGAAATGGTCGTACCAAAGAAACTTGTTATGACCTAGTTGATCGGCCAGATAAATTCAACTATCCAGGTAAGTTTAATGATAACAATGCTTCATCCACTTGGGGTTCAAATGTTGTCGGTACTGATCAGCCATTATCCACTTTCCAACTTCCAATTTTTGCTCCAAAGGTAATGATACCAATTCCTAAAGACGAGATTGAGAACCTTAGCCAGTTTATCGCCCAGTTAGATGGCCCATCCTGGATTATTCATGCTTAAGCTCACCACATCTCTCTAGAGCATCTGAACACGTCTGAATTATTGATTCAAGAGCCTCCAATCACGTGACTGCTATGTCTTCCTTGTTTTCTTCTTACTCCCTTTGTTATAGTAAAGACAAAGTTAGGGATTTTGATGGATTCTTTTCCTCTATTGCTCTAAAAGGTATAGTAAACATTTCTTTTGAAATCTAATTGTCTTTAATTCTTCATGCTCCCAGATTTGTCACAAACTTAATGTCTATCAATAGCATTACCCAAAGTCTAAATTGTAGTGCAACCTTCCTCCTTCCCATGTGTTTTGCAGAACCTGGATACGAGAAAGATGATAGGCAGTGGTCATGAAGCTGGTGGTCTCTACATTTAGATTCGACAACAACTACTCTTCAAGACCTTCAGTCCAACACAAGTATCAATAAAGATCGGATTTGGCAGTGACATCTTGGCGAGCTAAACAATCCTTTGACTAGTCATGGCAGTTCTCATAGGCCAATCCACCCTTTGACGGACCCCTTGATAATGATCTACATCCCAAGGTTGCAAGGAAATTCAGGAGGGGAAGGCCAACTTTTTGTACTTCTCCATTTATTTTTAGTTTGAGGTTGTTTTTAACATCTCTTAGTCATTTCCAGCATTTTAAAGTTAGGGCCAGTTTAAGGACTTCTACGTTTTAATTTGAGTGAAGGGACTTATGGTGTATTCTTGTGACGTTTTAAATTAGGTGGGGTAGTTTTTGGTCTTTTTTTATTAGAGTGTAAGAAAAGGGTGGGGGTGTTAGGGTTTTAGCACTTTTGGGGCCATGGACACCAAAAACAAGACTAAACAGTAACACCATGCCCTATATCTAGGGTTATGGAGAAGTCTAACCTGTTTTGATAGTTTATTGAACTATTTTTGCCTCTTTTCTCTATTTTCCTGCATCAATTTGTATCAGAGCCCAGGTTTTCTTCAATACCAAAGCTGAAAATCTACAACCAAGTCTAGGATTTGCTGATTTTAGACTAAGTTTTGCCAAATGAGCTAAAAACTTGCTCGTTTCAGTTCAATTTTGTTGGTTCTCTACCAATGGTTTGTGATTTCCGTGAACGTATGGCAGCAAGAAGAGGTGGAAGCAAGGGTATTCATATGCATTCACCGCGTGATGAGCGCAATCAGGAGAGAGAGGATCAAGAACTCACAAGGAAGCTTGAAGGCATCGATCATGGGCGAGATAAAGCTTTGTTCATCCAAGACAATGTTAGTACAATCTTTTTCACGATTATTCTTCGCGCGATGAGTCAAGTGAAGAGTAAAATGATCGGAGGTAACGGCGGGACTCAAAATCCATATATCTAAAAGTAGATATTCCTGATTTTGAAGGAAATTCGCAATACGACTTTATAGACTAGTTAAACACAGTACAGAGGGTCTTCGATTATAAGGATTGGCCAGAGAATAAGAAGGTTAAAACTTTTTCCATTAAACTAAGGAAAAGTGCTTCGATATGGGGAGAACAACTAAGAGAAAGGCGACAAAGATTGGGAAAACCTAAAATTGTGTTGCAGGATAAGATGAGGAAAAAGATGAAGGAAAAATATATCTCTAAAAATTATTTGCAGTCTTATATCAAAAGAAGCATGTCTTGCTGCAAAGGGATTGGTCGGTGGATAAATACAAAGATGAGTTTCAC